AGCGACAAGAGTGTAGTGACCGCAATCCCGGCCATGAGGCCCGGGCTTTCACATAGATAAGCCTTCCCGGCTTCTAACAGGTACCAGAAGATACCCAATGTGTCTTCCGCGCAGAAGATGTCAACCAAGTATGGTCGAAGGGCGTGTATCACCATGTCAAACGGGTAGTCGCTCAGCATCACGGACCCAGCAATGCTCACGAGTATCCTGATTTTTCGGATAACTGAGCAAGCATGTAGAGAGCCAAGGGCGGGATGAATTGATTCTAAGAGCGTTCGACAAACATAAGTTGCCAAGGTGGGGGTCCATATGGTCCCAAGGTCATATCCACTCCGCTTGCAGAGAAACTCAAGCTCGTCCAGGAGATAACGCGCCCTGAAAGAAGGCTGCTGATTTGCAGGCAAAATGATACCAGAAGTACTCTTCTCGCTTATACGTCTTAGGACTGCATGCGGGTCCTCAAAGCCCTCACGCTTCAGAAACGCCCTCTCGATCTGTTCGTATTGATCCAGTGTGCCAAAGAAGATTGCTATCATTTGCGGAAAGTGAGATTCAATCAGAGACACAAATTTGTCGGTCCCCAGTAGCTTCTTCATTCGGTTCTCCACACCTCGTGGTTGGCTTCCCTGTTCAGGAGGAGTACTAATATCCCGTGCTATACTGTATGCTTCTGCCTTGCAAAAAGAGTCCACTACAAGGTGATCAAAGGGCACATTGGTGCAAGCCGAAAGCTTTGCTCCCTCGGTTTCATTTGCGCGCATCATCACCTGCCCGATTATCTCATCCTGGACGTCTATAAGCATCTCTTTGAGACTCTTGTATCCAAAGATACTGAAAGGCATGCGCATAACGGATTGTTCCTCAGTCCAAGTGTAGATAATTTGGGACGAAAACAGTCGAAAAAGTTGCTTTGCATCTTCAAGGCCAAGTGTTTCTGCAACATCCCGTAGGCAGTTTTCCGCATAGCGAAGTGAGTTTGGGACCTTGGCAGCGGTCTCAAACATATGATAGATGCTTCTCCGGAGCAGAGTGTGCCATCTGGAAGCGAGACGAGCCAAAATAACCAAGCGCAAAGCGATACCTTCATCCCAGTCTGAATCTCGGGGAAGACTGTCCAACACGTCGTCTAGGATCAGATCATGTTCCGTGAGAGAGAACTGACCGAAAAGTGAAGGGATGAGCTCCCCAGCATAGAACTTGGCTACGGCGTCTCCTTCTCGAATAATGGTGAATAGACTCGTTCTAGGTGACGGGCTAGACGAACCGCTTGAATACGTGACGTTGTGAGAAAGTAAGTCACTCAGGAGCTGTGTAAACTCGATAAGTACTGATGTGGAGGCCAATTTCTTAGCTAGGAGCACCTCAGTAAACCAAGAGTATATGTCGGTCGCCGAAGCATGAAAATCGTCATCTTCTGAGCCAGTCCACATTTCAACAAAGCTGCCCATCATGCGTAAACAAAGTACGTGAGAGCTTTCGCAGCGCTCCATCTCGTATGATTGCAAGCATTTCTCACCAAGGTCTTCGAGTATTCTTAGCAAAGAATGCCGTTCCACCCCATCGCATACACATGCGCGATATACATGCGGTAAGAAAATCTGCGCTGAGAGAATGTCAACCTCGTCGAAACCGGTCAGATATTCGATAAGATCATCATGGAAGGGATGTTCAGAAGAGACGGAAGAGGCATGTATCCTCTGAAAGATGGATAAATAGATGGTGATGCTGCGCTGTAAGATTGCAATATCTTGAAGTACGTGCGATGTTTCACGATTTCTACTGAAGATATGCACGAGCTCCGTCGATTGGTCGTAGGTAGTGAGGATAGGATCATCCAAATCCATAGCCTCTTCGCTGCTCAAGAGTAACACTTCTTTCTGCTTTTCCCGGTAGCTTTCCAGTAAATTGGCGAGGGAGGGAACCAGACTGGAGAGAGCATCTATAAGAGCCGGACTGGAACGAGGGAGGAGTGCATTGGGCACAAGTAGGGGAGTCAGAGTCATCAAGCATGCATGAATAAAGGCGGGTTCTCGAGAAGCGAGGAAAGAACACAGCTTTTCCCAAAGACTTTGATTGTTTTGCTGTATGACAGACACACGGTTTGCAGGTTGCTGAGGGAGACATGCCATATATAATGCAATAGTGACACAAGATGATGTGACTATTTGCACTAGATCTACAGTTATATGGTGTGTTTTGTCTTCAGATAGTGCTTCCCAGGTCTGCAGAAGCCCTTCAACTTTGGTTTGCAGCAGATCAAGGGCGATATTGTCACTGGAGTCTTGTCGAGGAAACTTCTCCAGGGACAAAGTCTCCTGCGGCTCCCAGTATTCGGCCAAATCCAACGACCCTTGAAGGTCAAAGATATAGTTTAGGAGCCGTTTGTTCTTGAGATAAAAGTGCCAACCTCTAGCAATGAGTCCTACCGGCCCTATGTAACGGGCCTTGGGTAATGTGAAGGGCCTGTTGGCACATGCAAAGAGCATGTTCAGAAGGTCTAAAGGACGTGCGAACATAGCAACTTGGGCTATCTGTAACCGATCGGCTAGAGAACCTAATGATACAGGTCAGCGAAGATGATATGAACGCAGCTTTGGGAAGAATTTACCGGTTCCCCAAGTTTCCCTCAACCAGGAACAAATTTTGTTGGAGGCATCTGGTACTAAGCCCGGGTTTATTTGCGAGGTGATCCGAAGTAATGTCGCCCAAAATGCCAGTGATGAATCGGAGATGGTTGAGGGGCCATTTGTATTGATTGACGTGAGCATGGAGCTTGTTGCCTGCGCGACTATTTGGTAGTCTAGAAGATTACGCTGAAGTATAATGTTCAACAGGTGGCAAGCAGCTCTGGCTGTTGCTTGAGAAAGAGAAACATGGGACGCCATCTCCCATGCGCGCTGCCAGCAATGTCTCAGCGATTGAGAGCTTGCATCAGAGCTACAAGCAATACTATTTGGATGAATTGTGTCAGTCGCAGATTTACCTTGAAAGCTAATTGATTACTCACCTTGCAATAGCTACCATCGTCCAGGAAGCCGTTGTGGCATTATCATCCATTATATGGGGAAGCAATCGCTCGAGCAGAGAGAGTTTTGACTCGGTGGTGGCGTAGCTCCTAGGGAGAAAAGGTATTAGCTGGAGAGCATATAGCCTCCTCATTCCAGAAGACACCGTTGAATCACGGAATATATCTTCTATATGCGAGGCGAGGCGCTGCCTTTTGGTTGCAGCCTCTCCGGATGTGGGATACAGTAACGACTGATCGCGTAACTCCTCTGCTAGTTCGAGGAACTTGGCTATAATCCATAGCGTCGTCCAATTGGGTTCAGATCTGGCACCTTCAAAACGCGGCCATGCTGAGTATTCTTGCTGTTGCTCAGAGCCACTGTGGTGGAACATTAATTCATCCAGCTGTAAAATCTCCTTTTCAGAACGTTTGGTATACTCCGTATACAGGGTTTCCAGGAGTTCCTCAATCACACGCGCAATCAACTCCGATGGATCTCTCCGGTTGGCATCAATCAAGATAACCGCACAAAGCATGACAGTGACAAGCATTTCATCTTTCAGACCTACAAACTTAGTTGCCCAAAAACGTTTAATTGCCGGTACGAGGTCCAGAAGCGACGACCTCGCAAGTTCAGATTGATCGAATAAAATCTTCATGACAACTGTGTTTACGCTAGCGAACGCAGCTTGGTGTCCACTCCCAGCGATCATCGACGACCCCACGAACTTTGTGAGCCCATGAAGTACACGCTCGGCTGCTTCTTGTATTGGGGCGCTTGGGCTCCCGACCAAAAGCTGGATACAGACAACAGCTTCCGTGGCCGCGCTGGTGTCACCTTTTGGCTTCTCACTCACAGTGGGCATGGGAGTTGATCTGGCCGGTGTGGAGGCCCTGCCTCCAGCAGAGAGATATCCATCCAAGAAGGAAGAATGCCTCTCTCGAATCGTAAGACCCTCCTGATCAGTGTGAGCACTAATACTTTTTAGACAAAAGTCCATGACTTTCTCCCATTCACTAAGAGCAAGATGCTCGAGGTGAGGAGGATGGCGCAGGAGCGTGACCAAACATTTAGCGTAGTCCACACTAAGCAGTTCAAAGAGCGAGTCGCTCCCACGGCCTAGTAGAGTATCGGTAATGTGATCAACGATTGCACGAACAGACTTCGTGCGCAGATTGCGTAGGAAAACATCAACAGCGATTCGAAGGACAGATGCACAGGATGACAAGCGACTTGCAGAAGCTCCCTTGGAATTGGACCGATTGTATTGAGACTTCTCAACCGATACAAACCGGAATAATGACTCAAAGATCTTGTGGCAAGCCTTGTCATTCAGGGAGTTTCTAGATGTATGCGAACATGTCAATAGCTGTCCGACTCCACTGCATATACATACGGAGCAGCACGAACACTTTACATACAATTTTGAGTTTCTTCTATTCTTCAGGAGTATATGCTTTAGATCTAGTCTGAGTCAGAACCGCACAGTCAGGGAATCCGGTAAATGTGCAGGACAAACCAGCAAGCCCATCTGAGCGCTCTCTGAGCTTCTCCGAAGCCAGAAGCGCAATGGCCCCATCTAAGGTAATGTCGCCCATGATGGATGTGAGGGGATGCACAAGTCAAAGGAGAGCAGAAGAGCTACGTAATTGGCAATAATGCCATATCCGGTTTGTGGCCGTCTAGAGAATTTCAAAACATCTCAGGGACACCAGGGGTAAAGCGGGGAAAGAGCCTTTAGAATCATCAATGGCCCAAAAACCATTATCGTTTGGTGTTTTGGATGCTCCGAATCTCCGAAAGTCTTTCTTTCTGTCTGGGGCGCGGCGGGCGGTAAGTAAAGATAGGTTGATGTGAGCTGAAAGCTCCGCCGCCCGCCTTCAGACCGCCGGAAGTTTGATCGCGTCCTCCGACCTTTTTTGGCCGGGACAAACACATCAGATCTTCCGACTTGCCGGTGCTCCTCGCAGTTCGCGCGCACACCTTTCAAGCATGGAGGAAAGAGATGCTGCAACGGGCCTTCGTGGCCTGTATCAGGATCTCTCTGCTCTTTCAGCTTCGTCCTTTGTGAACATCGAGCGTCTTCGAGTCGAGCTGGAGACTCACATCGATGATTTCAAGAAGCTCCTCGACAAACCTCCAAAGAACAACACAAGTCGCCAGGCGGTCCTCTCCGGTGAGTTTGATGAGCCAAAATGTCATTCATGAATTTTCCATCGATGCGCTGACCTTGCAATGTGATATAATATAGGTAAAATTACCGTCGACGACCTCGAGTACTCAATCAATGAGGAATTTCAACAAGGAGCGTTAATGCTGGCAGATGCACTGAATCTCGATGAATTGCAAGCAGCAATGCTGTTTATGGCGGCGCAGGAGGATGCTCACGTCTTGGATCGGCCTCCCGTCATCGCTGCGATCATGCGATTCCACGAGCGCCGACAATTCTTGCTCGACTCTCTACGGCTTATTTTCCAGGAGTCCTTCGAAGTGGAGCGGGAGATGACACAGGTTCTCATGCAGGAAATGCTGGCTTTCGTGGTGGAAATAAAGGATGGGCCTTTGCGGAATGCGTCACTATATACACGCAAATGCATGAAGTCGATGGAAGACATTGAGAACTGGCTTGTCCTCCTCAACGAGCAAACCCAGAAAGCGTCCATTGTTGGTCAGTCAGCGGAATACGACATTGTGGAGGCTCTCGAATACCAACGCAGCAGCTTACAGCAACAACACGAATCCCTCGGTGCTGTGCTATGCTACCTATTCAAAGGACCTTACACCAGTTCGGAGGACCTCCGCTTACTTCTAGACCACCTTCGGAAGCTCGAACGTTTCGATGGACTCCTTATTCACTACCTTCCTTGCATAATTGCGTCTTTTGTCCAGCATGGGTCTCCGGAAAGCTCTAGTTCCTATAGGGATGCTAGGAGCCTGCATACAGCGATCACATCCTCCAAAGACGTTCAGCCTTGGAAGATCCCCACGTTCCACTCTGCCGTCATCGCACTATGGCTCGCTGTCTACAGTGGGTGGGATTTCGATGGGCCTGCATCTCCTCTCCAAGGTGTGGACTTGGAAAAAGATTCAGAAGAGCGCACAAAGATGTTTATGACTGCTCTGGATGATGGAGGCCTCGAACTCATCCTTGCCGTCTGCTATGGCGTGAACGATGAAGAATGGGCTGATCCGGCTCGTAGTGAACTGGTCACATTATTATTGAAAGAAAGCGCGTCGGCAACACTTGAAACTGATAGTTGCTCGGACTTCTCAAAGGTGCTTCTAATGGAGAATTTCGAGGCTTTTGCCGAGGCATGCATAGCGAACATGCCCGATGCGGTGCGAATGTTGAAGACGGAAGAGGATTCGCAAAGACTGGATCATCTTACTGCTTTGCGGGACGGCTTGACTTCAAGCCTCCATAGTGGCCCGGTAGAGGCCCGAACACATCTTGAGTCGTTCTTGATGATCATGGCATTCGCGTTCGAGCATCGGCCAGACTCCGCACAGGAATTCTGGGCTGATCCAGATGGTAACCTTTATGGTTTCCTCCAATGGGCATCGAAACGGCAAACTGTTCCCAGGGTCAGCGCTTTCTGCGAGTTACTGTGCTCCATCTCCGTAGGCGAGGATAATGCCACTGCGGCCCATCGGTTTTTGTCTGAAGAAGACAAGTTCATGTCCGCGAAATTCAAACGATCTACGTCCATGAACTGGTCACAGATGTTCGCCGAGCTTCAACTGTACGCGACGAGAGTTACTGAAAAGCCGTCTACATCGCAGGCAATCCTGCGGTCAAGGAAACTCGACCCGGCTGATATGAGCGAGCCGGAGAGTCCGGTTATGTTGACATGCTACCTGAGGCTGCTAGAGCATCTGAGTAAGCAGAGTGCTACGATACGAGACTGGCTGCTTCATCACCCTACATTTAATGTCGTCGGTACGCTGTTGACGCTTTGCAGTGGGCCCATCCCTACGCATTTGCGAGCAAACGTCTTTGCAGCACTTGCGGCCCTGATGACAGATAGAACCTCTCACAATGGGAACGAAATGTGGCTTGCTATCGACCAGTGGATTTCTGGGGGTTCTATGAGTGCTTCCAACCTAGGGAAAGTCCCGGTCGTTTCCAACCCGCTTGTGTGGCATGAGCAACAGGCCTTCCAAAGGATTGGCGAGAGTTTCGATCAAGCCAATGCCTTCGTTCGGCTCGTTTATTCGCTCATCTCCCCTGCTCTCGATTCAGCTGATTTTCACCTCTCCTTGCCGTTCCCCGAGAGCCTGGGTTCGTCCTATCGGATGCCAGGCATTGAACCTTACATAGACTTTGTCATGGGTCAGGCTCTTTCCAGGAAAATTCCGGATCTGAACGAACGGCAGACTCGCTTCTTGACTTACAACTGCCTGGACTTTATTGTGACATGTCTGCAATCTTTCAACGAAAGCCTGGTCTCCGTTCTCAGCCAGCCTACGATATCCACTGATAGTGTTATCAAGCAATCGACATTCGTCACCTACATTCGTCTTCATCCCTTTGCACGAGTCACGGAGTGGCTTTTCAATGAGGACGTGATCAAAGCTATCTTTGCTACTGCCCATCAAGATGTAAATGAGGTTGCAAAGGCCTCATCAGACTCCGTCCTCGTCCAGTCCTTGCTCCGGAGCTTGGAAGTCATGGACATGATGATCGACCTTCAATCGACATATTTCAATATTGTGAGGCCGGCAATCAAGGCCCAGACCGGCACAAGCAGAACAAATGTGGCGAACTCTGCGCTGTCAGCTTTTGAGGATAGCATACTCAACAACCTGTCCATAATCCCTGCGTTGTGTCTTTACTGCAGCACCGGGCACCAGCAACTCACCGTCACGTCAATGGCGTTGCTGGAGAAGCTATCCAGCTCGGGAAAGCTGAACAAGATCACGTCTCCGGAGTTGTCTAAGTGGCGTTCACCGAACAAGATCGTCGAAGTTCTTAGTGCTGAGGTAGATCTCAACAGTGTCTCGCGTCCTCTTGTGTCTCAGATGCAACCCGAGTCAAGAGAGATAGAATCTGGCCCACAGTCGCCGGGTTATATTATCAGGGAAAGCCTCCTGGCACTTCTCAACAGCTGTCTCAGCACGATTAATGACCGACCTACGATAGCTCACCTGCTCCTTGGGTTTAATAGCATCGGTAACATACTTGACATTGCTCCCGACAGCCTGTTTGCTGATAAGATGTCTCTGCTCCATGCTGTCATCGGATTCTTGCAAAACTACCCTGACGAGCTGGATGGCAATATTCTCCCTTGGCTGGTGCATGTCAAGCGCATGGCCTTTGGAGTATTGAAGCACCTTTGGTCTTCTAAACTTTCTTCCTACTTCACACTTGCCGAGATGCGTGGCAGCCGCTTCCTTCTCAGTATGTTTGCGAGTCAGCCGATCATAGGGCCAAACACACCCTGGGATGGATTTCTGATCGGCACGCCTGAGTTCTGGCTCTCTGAGTCAACGGCTGGTCTTGCAGAGTTCCTTCTCTACAGAAGCTATTTGTTCGACTACGCTGCTACAGAAATTCGCTCGGCTACAAAGCTCGGGTCTCCGACTCTTCAAGCTGAAATAATATCAACTCTATTTGGGAACTCTGTTTCGGAGACTGGGGAGACCATTGTGAATCCTTCCATCTTCGATATGTTCGATTTCGCAGACCTGGACACTCAACATCAATTGCAACCACCGGCTCTAAATTTCCTTGATGGTCTCGAATTTGACCTCTGTGCGCGACCGGAAACGGACAGTTCTCCGATTGTGTACAACCTGGACGAGATAGTGGAACTCGTCCAGGTTAGGAAGGAAGAATTGTCATTGAGTGGGCATCTACGACCTCAGGACGAAGAGCTATTCCAGGCCGAGTCCGAAAGTCTGATATTATTCGTACGGTCCACAAACCAAGCAAGCCAGATCGCGTTCAATCGTTATTTGGCTCTACGGTCTTGGACCCAGCTCATCACCACGATGCTCACTTGTTCTGAAATTGAAGGCGGAAGGAGAGCTACCTTCATCCTGCATTCGCTCCAGTTGATCCTCCCCAAGCTAGAAATTGCTATTGAAGAAGACCTACCGGAAGGCTTAGAACTGGCACGACTGGCTGAGACCTTGGTTAGTAGGCTGGAATCTCCGAAGCCCGGTTCTGGTATTCCCCGCAGGAGTGGCGACGTTCTCGATGAAAAGCTTCATCAATTATTCCAAGTCTGCGTCAGAGGTGTGACCTTAGCAAACGGAAATGTGAGCATCAGGGAGACCTTTTACAACACCTGCGCACACTATGTCGCTGGTATTATCTCAACAGAGCCCGTGCATCAAAGTATGAGGCTCCAGAGCCAGCAAGTGATCAAAGCTGCAGGCCATGCCCTGATTGAGGCCGTCTGTGATGATGCATATGCTGGCCAGGAGACATGCCGAGTATCTGCCCTTTTGCTTCTGAATTTATTGGCTGCTCTGGACAGGCAAGCGGATGGACTGTTGGCCGATTCTATCTCCCAATCCAACTACCTGAGCCTCTTCTTGGACTCCATCAGGTCGCTACCTATCGAATTGAGAAACGCTCAGGCCAGTGGTAAGCAATCGCGAAAGAGTAAAACACACGGGGAAAACCGCATGTCTGACCGCTTTATACAGATACACCTTTGCTATTGTCCTACTACCAGTCACTCTTGTCTCTCCTCCAGGAGCTTTGCCAGACCAAGAATGGTGCGACGTATGTCCTGAAAACTGGCCTGTTCCAGGCAGTACGGGACTCGCAGCTATTTGCAGCCGACCCAGATCTCGGTATCGGTTAGTGAAATTACTCCCAAGCCAACGTTAAAATAATAGTCCTAACAGAAATAGATATCGATAACCCAGATGCTCTTCGGAAATACTATGACCTGCTTGACTCGGTTCTCCGAGTTGTTGTCGCCGCTGTTTTCTCTCGAGGGCTGCACAACGAGCAGATGCTGGAGCAGACTCGAATCTTCCTTGCCGAGAACAGACAAAGCATGGTTGGCATTTTCAAAAGATTTGCCAAGCTTGGAGGTGCAGGTGCCGCAGATCACCATGATGCACTGCGGAAACTCACCAAGTCATATCTGGCACTTATCACGGCCACGGATTTTCTGGAGGTATGCTTCGTCAGCCTTTTATTTATTACATCACGCATGCTAACTTAAGCTTTGCAGTTCGAAGATCAGGAAGTAAAAGAGCAGACGGGAATGAAGTTCTTTACGTGAGATTTGTTTTCAGCTAGAGGGGGGTATAGGGGGGAGGGGGCACAAGGCATGGAGTAAACTGGTGGGAACGATGTATATTGAAGTGTGTTTAGTCAAAGACTTGGATGATCTTTGCTATTCAGCCCACAAAACCCTTTGTGGCGAAGCAGCATATGTGATTTTGGAGCGCTTTTAATGATCGCACGTTTGTAACAAGCGCATTCACATGATTTCATCTGTAATACTAGCCCGCTGTGCATGTACTCAGTAAGGTATTATTACTCTAGTTAGTACTAGAGGAAATAAACCCAAAGGGGACCCCCGTCCAATCATGCGACAAATCGGAAAGGCGGACGTATTATCTTATCTCCGGCTTCTTGGGCGCCCGCGGGCAACCACCAGCTCAACTCACCTTGTCGTGCCCTTCCAAGCTCCAGCTCAAACCCAACCTTGACGACGCACCCTGCCCTATTACCGTCACTGTCTTGCTGTCACCAATATCCCCTCCACGGTTGACGAGCTTACCATGTTTAATAGGGTCTACATACTATTTGGATCCTTCCAACGCTGAGCGCTTCTCTCTCAACCTCACCTCCTCTCCTCGGACGAAGCCGGGTAGATGCAGCAGAACTCGAGAGGCACCACCGAGCAGAGGAGCGGTAAGCGCAAGTCTATCGGTAAGAGGAAGCTCTCTGATCAAGAGGAGGCATTGCAACAACCCCAGCAGCAGCAAGCGAACATTTCGGAATTCCTCTCTCGGAACCATACGACCCCCGCCAGAGGTCATCACCAACAGACGTCCCCGACGAGCAAGCGTCTACGACTATCGCCACCCTCATCGAACTCTGTCCCTTCGGCTTACTCGCGAGATTGCAGCGCTTCCGACAGGATGTACAATTTCGCAAATGCAGAGTCCAGGCCTGGCGCGCCGATGGGACAGAGTGCGAGCGGGGCCGATCTTCCTAATACTACCATCAAACCTCGCACCTTCAACGCAACGTCGCGCCAAAACAATTTCACTCCCCACACTGGAGCAAAGCGGTTGGTTGTGAAGAATCTCCGCGCGGGATCACGGTTGAACCAGGAATCATACTTCGAGAAGATATGGGGCCAACTTGATGCAGCGCTGTCAGCGATCTTTGATGGTGGAAAGCCTGAGATATCTCTCGAGGAGCTTTACAAGGGTGCCGAAAATGTATGTCGCCAAGGTCGAGCTGCAGTTTTAGCCAAACGGCTCCAAGATCGGTGTCGAGAACATGTGTCTGGAAAATTACGCGATAAATTGGTGGCAAAGGCTGCAGATGGGAGCAACGTCGATACATTGCGGGCGGTTGTTGAAGCATGGTCGCAGTGGCAGTCAAAGCTGGTATGGATAACCTCCGGATACAGTTGGATTCTGAGGAGATACTGACTCTATAGTAGGTTACCGTGCGCTGGATATTCTACTACCTCGACCAGTCATTCCTCCTCCATTCCAAAGAATTCCCCATGATACGTGAGATGGGCTTAATTCAATTCCGGCAGCACATATTTTCCGATGCAGTATTACAGCCGAAGATTCTACAGGGCGCTTGTGACCTTGTTGAGGCAGACCGTGGCGAAGAACAAAGCGTGGTGGCAGACTCGTTATTACTTCGAAATACAATTGAACTTTTCCACGGCCTTGACATCTATACGACTGGCTTTGAACCACTATTGATATCAGAATCCAAGAAATACTTCTCTACATGGGCCCAGCGAGAAGCAACAGGGTATTTGGCTACTTTTGCGGAGAACAGCCACCGTTTGATTGAGCGCGAAGTGACTCGATGTGAGCTGTTTTCGCTGAATAGGAGCACCAAGCAGATGTTATCAGAGCTCCTGGATCGAGCCTTGGTAACAGAGCAAGAAGATGTTCTGCTCAACCAGCCTGATATACTAGGCCTACTGCGTGCAGGGAACAAGGTTGCCTTAGAAAGGCTTTACTTACTCCTGCAGCGGAAGGACCTCGGTGCGAAGTTGAAGACCGCTTTCAGTGGTTATATCATTGAGGAGGGCTCTGGGATCGTCTTCGACGAGGATAAAGAAGCAGACATGGTGGCTCATCTATTAGAGTTCAAGCAGCAACTTGACGATATCTGGGTTCATTCTTTCCACCGGAATGAGGAGTTGGGCCATACACTCCGCGAAGCCTTTGAGACGTTCATCAATAAAGGAAGAAAGTCGGAAGCTACTGGAGGTACTGACAACCCCAAGACTGGAGAGATGATTGCCAAATACGTGGACCGGCTCCTCAAGGGCGGGTGGAAGCTCGCACCTGCACGCAAGGCGGAGGACATGCCACTTGCCGATGAAGACGCCGAAATCGACAGGCAACTGGATCAGGTCTTGGACCTGTTCCGTTTTGTCCATGGCAAAGCAGTTTTCGAGGCCTTCTACAAGAATGATCTCGCTCGTCGGTTGCTGATGGGCAGGAGCGCCAGCGACGATGCGGAAAAGAGTATGCTGGCAAGACTCAAGACAGGTTTGTACAATTCTTGTCCATTTTTCATTCTCAACTCGTTACTAATATTGCGAATTAGAATGTGGGTCAAGCTTCACGCATAATCTGGAGTCGATGTTCAAAGACATGGATGTTGCGCGCGATGAGATGTCGGCATACAGTTCAATACAGCGCGAACGGCGGGACCGTCTACCGGTGGATTTGAACGTCAGCGTGCTTTCTGCATCAGCATGGCCAACATATCCCGATGTTCAGGTGCGGATACCGCCAGAAATTGCGACTGCTGTCGACGATTTCGAAAAGTTCTACAACACCAAATACAACGGGCGCAAGCTCAACTGGAAGCACCAATTGGCACATTGTCAGCTACGCGCAAGATTTCCCAAGGGAGACAAGGAACTGGTGGTCAGCTCCTTCCAGGCGATCGTTCTGTTGCTCTTCAACGATATCCCGGAGGGTGGAAGTCTCGGGTATTTACAGATACAGGAGGCGACCATGTTATGTAAGTTGCACTGCCTCTCTACCCCGAAACCTACGCAAGTTGGGCCTCTACTGACATGTATCGATGCACAGCTGATCAAGAATTGAAACGAACGCTGCAATCGCTCGCATGTGCGAAATACCGTGTTCTAAGCAAGAAGCCGAAGGGCCGGGATGTGAATACAACAGACGAGTTTTCGTACAACGCGGCATTCACCGACCCGAAGATGCGGATTAAGATCAACCAAATTCAGCTGAAAGAGACGAAGGAAGAGAACAAGACCACGCACGAGCGGGTGGCTGCCGATCGTCATTATGAGACACAAGCGGCGATTGTGCGAATCATGAAGAGTCGCAAGACGATCACGCACGCAGAACTCGTGGCTGAGGTTATCAAGGCAACCCGAAGTCGCGGAGTGTTAGAGCCGGCGGATATCAAGAAGAATATTGAGAAGTGAGTTCTTCCGATCCTAACACCAGCATAAGGTATATCATAGCTGACGCAATCGTGTGCAGACTGATTGAGAAAGACTACATGGAGCGCGAGGAAGGAAACCGGTACCAATATGTGGCCTAGAAATTTGCAGTGGTGCTATGTCGGGTGCAAAGCATTGGGGTTCGACGATGTGGTACTTCGTATAGTGTTGGTTGACAGCTCAGAGACCGTCAGAACGAAATGGCATGATAAAGAATGCACTAATACAGTCATGTGTCCATTCTGCTTAAGGACCTTCCCTCCTAGGCACAGTCGCAGCTAGCTAGCCGTGTAGATACAGGGAGTAGTCGTGGCCTTTTCGGGCGCTTTCTGCTAGCAGCGACGGTCGACACAGCAGTAGTAGTAGGTGGGGTGACCGGAATGTCGGGAGAGAAGAGAATGGGGTATCAACTCTCCCAAGTAAAATCTAGTACGAAGTAGACTAGACTAGACTAGCAGCAGATTGATCCCTGGCATGGTTGCGGAGCATCGCCGGTCCCACAAGCCTAGTTGGGGACCCAAGGAGAGAGCTTCCATGGGGATCCGTCGGGAAGAAAGAGTCAAGTAGTACATAGTAAAGTCGTGTGTCGCGAATCTGCAACTCTACTTGCGTGCGTTGTATAGGAACCCTCGGTATAGTTGCCTTTTACGATTGCCCCCCCATTCCCACCGACCGAATTTGGGGGGGAAAACTGTTGAGGAGTGGACGGATCTAACGTGCCTCACGTGTACCTTCCTTGTCCCTACCTAATTAGTAGCTAGATAGTAACTAACAGCAAACTAGGCTACTAAGTAGTTAACCCGCTGCAGGATTGGAACGACTAGAATGTGTAGTGGATAATTGATACAGCAAGGTACATCTGGAGCTACACCCCACGTAGGGGTGAGTATGTGGTATGAATCGGAATTGCTGCATTCATTCAAACTGAATGCTCATTACAGCTTGAGCCCAAAGAGTCAATCCGTCAGTCAGTCAGTCATGAGTGCATGGATGAGATTGCTTGGTTCTTCTCTCGCCCGAGAGACAGGCAGTCGGGCTCTCGGCAGAGAAAAGCAGCGCCAGAAATGTGAGGGAAGGCCGAAAAAGGCAATGGAATGGAAGTGTCAGCCCGTGGAAGGTGCAGCCCATCGATGACTACTCGAGCCGAATCGGGAAGGGGACGAAACGGTCTAGAGCTTTCGGGGGGATCCATCCGGCTTACTATCTATGGAGTACTCCATAGCAACTCCCCCCATAGTAAAGTTAGGGGGGAAAATCCTGGGAACTTTCCATCCGCTCACGTGGATGTCTGAGCTTTTTCCTCTCCTTCAGGGACGCGGCCGATCCATCATCGCCCCATCCATGACCCGGCGACTTTGCAAAATGAACTATAGTCATCCTTAGTCTTTACCGTAGATAATCGGAGAAACCCTTCCCTTTTTTTCTTTTTCCATTTCTTCCACGTATCAACATCCCGGTTTCCTCCCGATGGAGTAAGGATTGCTGTTTCATACTAAAGATCTGACAGCGGAGAAGTGGTGGCTTGCACAATCTCCAACCCCTTCCTTCATGTTTCTTTTTTTGTGTTCATTTTCTGAAGGTCC